CTATGTTAACCATTTTGATGAGAGTATTTCAAATTGTATATGAAAACACCACACTGTACCCTGTGATTGCATTAATGTACACAGCTATGATTTAATTTAAAAAAAAGGAATTTGGTGAATGAGTTTAACAAATACAGTAGAAGAGAAATAATTTGGATAGAAGAAAAAAAATTAAGAATGATGCATACAGAAACAAAAGGATGGAAAAGAATCAGAAAACTATGTAAAAGAGAGAAGGGCTAACATAAAATAACTGGAGTTCAGAAAGAGAAGTAGAGAATATGTGAAGTTAAGGCTTGAGAATTTTCTAAATCTTAATGAAAATCATCAAGCTACAGATTTCTAAAGTCTCACAAACTTTAGGCAAAATACATTCAAAGAAAATCATATGCATTACTAATATTGTTAAAAACTAAAAAAATTTATAACAGTATATGAAACTTAAGACACATTACCTTCAATGGAAAAATGTGACAGTTTGACTTCTCAATAGAAAAAGTGGGAATCAGAAGACAGTGGAATGGTGTCTTCAAAGTGATGAAGTAACTGCCAACCTAGAGTCTATAAAAAGCAAAATTTCTTAAAAATAAGTTTCCTAAGTAAACTTAAAGAAATTTCACACAAAAAAATGAGAATTTTTCCTAGCATACCCTACACAAGAAAATTGTCTTTAACCAGAGGGAAAATGTTACCAGATGGAATGTAAGAATGCAAGAAGGAATGACAAACAAAAAGGGTAATTATGTGGCTTAAACAAATAGTGACTTTGAAGCAAAGGTAGTATCTTGGTGGTTTTTCTTTTTGAGACAGAGCTGTCACCCTGGGTAGAGTGCGTGGCATCACAGCTCATAGCAACCTCCGAGTCCTGAGCTCAAGCGAGTCTCCTGCCTCCGCCTCCCAAGTAGCTGGGACTATAAGCGCCTGCCACAATGCCCAGTCATTTTTTTGGTTGCAGTTGTCATTGTTTGGCAGGCCCGGGCTGGATTTGAACCCACCAGTTCAGGTGTATGTGGCTGGCGCCTTAGCCGCTTGAGCCACAGGCACCGAGCTGAATGATTCTAATTTTGAGAAGGGTATTAAGACAGCCAGTAGGGGAATAGTCTTTTCCCTAATGCTGGGACAACTGGATAGTCACATGCAAAATAATAAAGTCAA